AAAAAAAAAAAAACAGAACTTGAGCTCAAGGCATCAGAAATGGCCAAAAAACTAATGATTTATAACTAGGAAGGTCCTAGTGAGATAGCTATCTAGATTATAAATTAAATATGAAAATATAAATTAAATATCTAGATCTTTTTCTGTGAGGTAAACTACTAAAACATTAATTCCTGAATGTAAGTTGAAGCTTATGTATTTTTGGTTTCTTATTCATGAAGAGAGAGCTAGAAATAATTTTGTGCACTGGTAAGCATGTCCTGTGCTGCGAGGAAATTTGTTATTCAAAAACTACGAAGTCATGAACTTCCTAATCTTCCCTAAATATTAAGGTTACTAAGGTTTAAGAATTTTAATAACTCTATGTAATGTAAATGACTAGAAATAGTAAGCACAAAAGAAAACAACTGTCTATGAACATGCATATGAAAAATGTAGTAAATAAGTAAATGTATGTTTTTAATGAGGAAAAGTATACAAGATATGCATTTTTCTTAAATGAAAACAAGTAATTTTGTTTTAAAGCAAGATGATTTATTGATCCAGAATAAGAAAAGGAAAAAAGGACTAAAACAAAAACTAAATAGATAGAGAAAGCTGTAGAAGACCTGTGAAAGATGAATTTTATGTGTGGTCAAACCCATTAGATAAGTTTTATTTATAAGTTTTAAAAACAAGCTCAGTAGCATACTGGGGCAAAGTGAGAGTTGGGTTTTCTCTCTGCTAAAAGGACAGTTTTCTTGGAATATTGGTCTGCTCTTGATTATAGAAGTGTTTGTTGTTTGTTTTTTTTTTCCTTTTCATGTTAAGTAACTGGCCTAGAAAACACAGATTTTGTGTTTAATGAAGATAATCTTTTTATGTTTCATGTCTTTTATTAGGTCTTTGATTATTTAAGAAAAGTACAGCTTTTCAATATTAAAAGGGCTAACTTTTTGTATTTGCCTTTAAAAATCATTATCACTTTGGTATTGTTTCACAATGACCTATGAACCTATCTAATCAAGCATTTTAAACCTTTTGACAGTTTGACAACTTCTCAAAATCAAATTGTAAATTATATCTTTTTTACCTCAAATTAACTTTGACAGTTTTCATAAGGGTTCTCAGACTATCTCAAAAAAATGAATTCCCCAGAAGAATGTAACCAGGCCTACAAAACCAATGTTCAAATTTTAATATCAGCAAGCATTGTTCAGAACATACATTCACATCCCAATTCCAATCCCTGTCCCCCACCTTACCTCTGATGGGCACCCCCTCCTGAACCCCAATTGTACCCCTGACCCCTCCCATTTCTGACCCTACTCCTCTCGTAAGATTAACCCCATCTCTGGTCCCAGCCCCATCCTGGATAGTGAATCCCTTCCTAAAGTAAACCATCTCCCTGGCCTTGATCAGATATCTCATCCTCACCCTATCTAATTGAAACACCAGTTTTTAATCTTTTGGAACACTATGTTAATTAAAGAATCCTGACATTTTTAAAAATTGAGATTCAAATCATTTATGTCTTGAACTATACCCGGAGAATTACTTGTTGCATTAAAATATCTAATCAGGCTGAGTGCAGTGGCTCATGCCTGTAATCCCAGCACATTGGGAGGCAGAAAGGGAGAGGATTGCCTAAGCCCAGGAATTGGAGACCAACCTGGGCAACTTGGCAAGACCTCATCTCTAAAATAAAAATAAAAATAAAGAAATTAGCTGAGCATGGTGGCATGAACCTGTAGTTCCAGCTATTTGGAAGGCAGAAGTGGAAGGGTCACTGGAGGTCAGGAGTCAACCTACAGTGAGCCATGATGGTGCCACTACACTCCAGCCTAGACAACAGAGTGAGACTTCGACTCAATCACTCAATCAGTTAACTAATTAATAAAATATCTAATCAAACAGTTTTTACTTGTTTGAAAAAGAATTCTGACTACATCCCTCCCCTGTTTAAAACTCTTCTGAAACGCCGGGCTCGGTGGCTCAGCCTGTAATCCCGTGCTTTGGGAGGCTGAGGTGAGTGGATTGCCTGAGCCCGCGGGTTCGAGATCCATCTGGGCAGCGAGACCTCATCTCTACAATAAATCAAAAAATCAGCCGGGCGTGGTAGCGCATGCCTGTAATTCTGGCTACTTGGAAATCTGAGGCGGAAGGATCGCCGGAGCCCAGCAGGTCGAGGCTGCGGTGGCCGGGAGCGGCCACTGCACTCCAGTCTGGACGCAGAGTGAGACTCCAATTCAAAAAAAAAACTCTCCTGAATTATTTTACTCCTGTTTGACTCACATTTCCCAAATTACTAGTGAGGCTAAGCATCTTCTTTCATGTTTATTAGTCATTTGCACCCTCCCCCCCATCCATTGTGGATCCTTATTTACTTACTGAAGCTTCTGTGGAGTGTGGAGTTGTCTTTGGGATGGTATACGGTGAAAGAGAAGGAAGATGGACAAAAGGAGGAGTGGAGGGGGAATTAGAGAAGAGAGGAAGAAGAAAAAGAGGCCCCAGTTCTCAGCCTTCTCCCCCACCCCACCCCCGGATTCTCTCTCTGTGTTCTCCCCTCCTGAAGTAGATCTATCTCTTAGGGCTTGAGCACCTCACTCTTTCATCATCAACCTGCCTGGAGAGCCCCAAGCGGGACAGTCTGGGGATCCTCCATCCTGGCCCCTGGAAGAGCATCTTAGACAATGCTCTGGAGAGGATGATGACCCTGCCAGGGCGTCTTTAGCCCCAGTCTTATAGCTGTTAACCAATCCTGGCATTCATTCCATGTGTGACACCCCTTCCCTGAGACTCAGCACACTGATTTCATTCCAAGGCTTCACTCCACACTTGGTCCCAACCTTATCTTTTTTTTTTTTTAAAGACAAGGGTCTCAACACACTGCCCAGGCTAGCCTCGGACTCCTAGGCTCAAGTGACCTTCCCACTTCAGCTTCCAGGGTAGCTGGGACTACGCATGTACCACCACAGCTCCAACCCCATCTTGAATCTTCATCCCCAACTCCCCACTGCATGCCTGAATCTCACTCACCCTGTCCCCAACCTCATCCTATTTCTGGATCTCTCCCTATTCCTGACATTCATCCTTCTCTGACATTATCCCAAGCTGCCACCCCATCCTTGCCCCCTCACCTCTGACGCCAACCTCAATTTGCAGATCCCAGTCTCAACCTTGATCTAAACCCTGTTTCTGAGACTTGCCCCACTCCCAACCTCACACCACCCTTGATCCTTCCCCATTCCACCTAAATCCACACCTTCTCCCTTTTGCTTAAGCTGGCTTGAGTTCAGTTTCTGTCATTTGCATTCAAAACAGTCTAGATGCCTTCAGTTTTCACTTGGGACAGTTTTACCTGATAAAAATCTAATGAAGGTAAAACAGGCCAATTCTTGAGGGGACAGCAGGAGGCTAAAAGGGGAGAGTACAGATAAGAGCACCTTTGAGCAGATGGTGTGCAAATGAGTTGGGGTCTCTAGCATCCATTCATTCCCTTGATAAATATTTACTGAACATTCAATAGGCTCCAGCACCGAGGATACAGGGTGAACAAAACAGACAGGGAACCTGCCTCCAAGGAGGGAAAACAGACTAAGAAATGACGGCAACTCAGAGTATGCATCTGGGGAGGCATGAGGAGCTCATATAGTTTGTGGGAACCAGGCAAGGTCTAGCCTAGAAGACAATATTCAAGTTAACGGAAAGCTGAGACTCTCTGAAGGAGCATTCTCTTTTACTTGTGGACAAAGAGACCCTCCTTGACCTGAGGAATGAGGATGAACAGGAGTTTCTGTGCCCAAAACTGTTCTAGCAGGAGTTAAAGCCCCATGGAATGCCACCCTTCAGCCCAGAGAGATGCCTTTTTGGGGGGTGCTGCCCTCATTCTGCTGCAGGAGCAGCCAACAACGTCACGCACACATCTGACTCTATGTCACACTCGAGAAATTTTATTAGGAATGTCTGAGACCAGTGGAGGGCTGCCTGTGCATGGCTTTCTGGGGTTGCCGATGCTCTGTGCCAGCGTGGAAGCTCCAAGAGGGCAGGGTTATCTCACTCTATCTGGGGCTCAGCAGGTGACCAGCACAGTTGCCTGATGTTGGTCATGGGGGTAGGGAGGACTGTGCCACAGGTCTGGCATCCAAATCCTCTTCCCCTTTGTTCTCCCTCCTCACCCGGGGGGAAAGATGTGTTCCTAGCTCCTCACAAGGCCACCAGGTGGCTTGATGCACAGGTATGTTGCTGACACTGCAACATTCCCGAGATGAGAAAAACATTCCCCAAGTTCAGGTCCGAGAACACAGAGCCACCAGAGAGCCTAAGCGGAACCTACACAGCAGTTAATGAGATGTCTCTGAGAAGGTCAACAAGAGCGTCCACTGTGTATGAGGACACAGCTTCAGCTCCAGTTCTTTGATCTAATGTCAGATTCAGGCTTTAGAGGTGATTGTGCTAATTACTCAGTTAGTGGGTCAAAGATGCAAGAGTTCCTGTTGAGGAATGTTGATACTTCCTTTTCATGGAGGTGTACAGACTTGTCTTTGGAGATATCTCAGCAGTCCCTCAGAAGGGTGGTTTGGCCCCTGAAGACACCAGCCCCTAACTTCCCTGCATTCTTTTTTTTTTTTTTTTTTTTTTTTTTTGAGTGGAGTCACGGCCAACCCGACAACCCACTGGGCTCTGGCTGTCCTTCCACCGCAGACTTCTAAGTAGCCAGAATTACAGGTGCATGCAACCATACCTGGCTAATATTTTTTATTTATTTTAGAGACGAGGTCTCACCACGTTGCCCAGGCTGGTCTCAAACCAGCGGGCTTAGGCAATCCTCTCGCCTCGGCCTCCCAAAGTGCTAGGATTACAGGCTTGAGCCACCACACCCGGCCATTTCCCTGTATTCTATAGCCTCCTCTGCAAACCCAGATAGTGTCTCACCAGAGCCGGACTAACCTCTATACGCAATCTTGGGGTAATGGTTATTCTTTCTTTATTAGGGAAAGATACTTTTTAGTTGATGGCTTTCAGAGATTTGAAGAGACATTGACAGAGGAAGAAGTGTAAGAGCCAATGCGGTGACGTGCCAAGAACTCCTTGCTGACCAGGCCATGAGTAGCCAGGATTTTGAGAAATCCATGGCGAAACTTTTGACCAATGAAGACGTAGATGAAGGGGTTGAGGCAGCTGTGGAGGAAGCCCAGAATCTCGGTGGCTTCCAGGGCCCGGTCGATGTCGCTGCGGCGCTCACAGCTCTCCTCGATCACCCGGGTCCTCATGAGAGTGTCCGTGAGCAGGACCATGTGGTAGGGCAGCCAGCAGAGCAGGAAGATGAGGACGACGGCAAAGATGACCCGCATGGCCCGGTGCTTCTGCCCCATGTGGGCCTTGAACAGCGTGCGCAGGGTGAATCCATAGCAGAACAGCATGACCAGCAGCGGTAGGATGAAGCCAAAAGTGTGGGGCAGGACTCGCAACACCATCCGCCATTTTGCTGTGTCATCCCCCAGAACTTCATAGCAGACAGGGCTGGAATTGTTTGGACGATAGGTCTCACGGAAAAGGAAGAAGGGTAAGGACAAAACCAGAGACAGTCCCCAGATGCCCACACATATGAACTTGACCAAGTGGCGCTTCTGGGTCAGTGTGCGCGTGGCATGGACGATGGCCAGGTAGCGGTCCACGCTGATGCAGGCCAGGAGTAGAATACCACTGTAGAAGTTGACTTCCTTCAGGAGCGAGACCACCTTGCACAGGGGTGTGCCAAAAATCCAGCCCCTCTCCCTGGAGGCAGCCCAGATGGGCAAGGTGAGGGCAAAGAGCAGGTCGGCCAAGGCCAGGTTCAGCAGGTAGACGTCGGTGACAGAGCGCCCGGCTCTGCTGTGTAGGATGACCAGCATCACCAAGGAGTTTCCCAGCAGGCTCAGCATGAACACCAGGGCATAGATGACAACCACAACATACTTGTTGAGTGTCTCACTCTGTGGATTACAGGGACTGTAATCTTTATCTACAGATGGCATACCAGTGAAATCTAAAAACTCCTCATATGACAACCACCATGGAACAGCAGAAGTCCACATGTTTTTCTCTGTTACAGCCATGGTTTGATCTAGTTGAAAGATTAAGAAGGAAATAAACGTGATTTAGTAACCCAGACTTACTGCACTCTCATCAAGGATGTGAGAGCAGTGACTGGGATATGTTCTGCTTCTCTGTCGGTTTAGCAACTGGAGAACTCCCTGCTTTGCCTCTAACCTGGGCTACTTTGGAGGCCGGCTTCCTAGTGTTATCCACCTGAGACTCAGCCTGAGGATGGGATGAGGGGAAAACACCTTACCCTTGGTGGCCTATAACTGTCTCCACTCTACCCACATCTCTATCTCTGTCCCTCTTTAACCTTCACAGCCATGTCTGTGCATTTGGATGCCAGGACGAGGTAGGTCTTAGACTTTCAAAGAAGGGCCAGTGTTAAGCAAAATGGAAGAAGAAAACCACCTCCCAGGTGTCCCTTTCTGTCTTACTAAACCCCCCAACCCATCCTCATGTTCTCCCTGACTCCTGTTTACCCTTCTTAAAATCTCCTAGGGGATGAAGTGATAACTGCATTAAACTGCATTTTTAGCCTGTCTTTAAATGAGCAATAAACGTTTTGGTGCTCTGTCTAAAGGAATTTTTGGCATTTGAGAGGATAACGTCTCCATCGTGGTCCCTGAGATCCCAAGATCCCTTTCCAAACATCCACAGGATCGCTTAGCAATTTTCAAGCTTTTATGTGTGTATGTGAAACACTTATTGAAACAAAATCTTCCCAGAAGCCCAATGTGTGAAACTGAACCCGTGTGCTGGAGGGTGTGCCGGTCTCTCAACCCAGATGACCCCTAAAGAGCCCCCAAGAGCCCCCAGAGCTCTCCAGAGAACTGTCTGACAGCCTTTGGAAAGTCACTCAGATTTAATATAAGGATACTCAGCACCCAGTCCTCATTCGATCCTGATTCTATCACTGATGAGCTGTGTGACCTTAAGTGGGGCCTTTTATCATAGTAGATTTCAGTCTGCCCATCTGCAAATTGAGGAAGACATAGTAAGTCACCTCTAATTTGCTTCCAGGTCTAAGGTTCTGTGATAAACTCATTCAGATCCACACATCTTAGTATGTTCTCTCCCTGTCAGTATTTTGCATTTTCACAGGGGCAAAGCAATAAAGATCGAATTGGGGAATTGTCAGTCTCTGCTCCACAAAAGAGAGAGGTATAAAAGGAGAGGATGAAAAGACTGTGGCCGACTTTTCACTGACTACCACCAAGTATAAGGTCAGAGTTGAGTACATAGTCACAGAGAGGAAGCAGGCAGCCAGTTTAGCAGAAATCTCAAGTGCCAAAGAAATGAACACATTTTCTAAAATAAAGTCAAACCAAGCCTTCCTATCCCCAGAGGAAGTTCTGGCAAGCAGAGGAGGCTTCTTACCTGAAGCACTAGCCAGGTGTGTCCAACCGTTAGCGCAGCAGCCCAGAGACCGGAATGACTTAACAGTTAGAGGGAACTTGATGAACAAAAGGAAATAGGGAAACCATGTCAGACCACACCTCCCTTCTGAGCCCCACCCATGTCTACATTCAGAGAACAGAGTCAAGAGATCACCAGAGAGACTCTCAGGGTTCATATGTCCCAGCAGGGTACCAGGCATGAAGTTGGGGTTAAGGGTTAATCATCTGAATTCTTCACTCTGTGTGTGACCATTTTTATTCTCTTCCTTTCTTAAATGTGTTGCCATTTGTATATCCCTAAATTCCCTAGTAGATTGCCTTTGAAAGCTTCCAACTTGCCTGGGAAGAATAAAAAGAATGGGATCTGACTTTTCATTGCAACAACTTCAGAAGGTGTCCCACATGAAGAAGGTGTGGGAGTCCTCCACGGCAGGGGGTCATGGAAGCAATCTGGGGAGAAGGAGGCAGAGGATTGTTCTCCAGCTCTGTTTGGACAGCAAGTACACAACCTTGACTTACATTGTGGACTTATTTGGGGGTAGAGATTTGGGGAGCAAACTGGCCCAACCACTCCCACCACCACCATCAGTCACTCTTTTGCAAAACCATCGCCAATGATAGGCTGGTTAGAATGACTTTGAGTCCTCTAGCCATCTAAATTTTGGAAAAAAAGATAAATTAAAAAGAATAAAATGACTTGGGTCCACTCCCAGGGTCTGGCTGGAGAGCAGAGAGACCAAGTGGGGCAATTCGTAAATCTGAAGTGGAGAACTGGTGAATGGTGTCAAGGTCAATGCTGCCCCCCTCTCAGTTCAATGGAGGACAGCTTCTCTGGGAGCCTGCCTTAGCTGCCGCCAGCAGCTAATGGCTTTCCCCTGGCTTGACCCCACAGGCACCTCCTTCACGCCTGCATTATAATGAACCCTACTGTGTTACAATGACAGGTGTCCAAGTCAGCCCCCCCTCAGCCAGTGAGTAAGGACCCTCTCCGATTCATCTTGTGTCCTCTGCCATGAAATATAGTAAGTCAGCCTGTGAGCTGCCAGTGAGTAAGGCCCCTCTCCGATTCATCTTGTGTCCTCTGCCATGAAATAAAAGTAAGTGTTCAATTGATGATTGTGGAATAAACGATGGGAGGCATGTCTCGCATGATTCATGGATCGCAGGTTACCACCACGATTCAGTGTCTGTCACTTTTGGCCACACACTCATACCACAGGTATGTCTAAAAGCTTCATTTCCATACAGCCTGCAGGTCTGCCTGGCATTGCTCATTCCCAGCCATCCTCTAGCGTTTGGACTTAGTACGAGTCTGTGCAAGTGTAAATCCTGCCCTACCACAAATGCCACACTTATCATGCTGTGGGTGCCTACAATTCTGCCACCAGCAAGCCTATTTTTTAAGCTAAGTCGTGCTCTCCTCCTGGGTCCACTCATCATTTATAAGCAGCAGCAGGAAGTATATGGAGACAGTGACCACTCATGCTTTGCTTTTACTAACGTTGAACTACTGCACTCTGATGCCTAGATCAGAAAGGACTCCTAGGACTGGGCACAGTGGCCCATGCCTGTAATCGCAGCACTTTGGGAAGTCAAGGCAGAGGATTGCTTGAGTCAAGGAAGTTGAGACCAGCCCGGGCAACATAGTGAGACCCTGTCTCCAAAAATAAATTAATTAATTAAATGTCATTTTTTAAAAAAAGAAAGGACTCCCAGATGGGATAGTCCCAGAAGGGAGGAGACACTCTTCCTATTAATCATCTAGGGAAAAGGCAGCCCCTGGGGCAGAAAATACTCACTGGGGACACAGGAGAAAAGAGACTGTTGGGGTTGAGACTGAAAAACACCTGTAGGTGTCCAAGAGCAAACTGAGGTGATGGGGAAGAGAGCTTCTGCCACAAGAGGGAAGCGATCGCTGGGTGGGGCAGCTGCTGCAAGTGACCCACCAAGCAAGACCAGTGCCAAGAGTGGGTATATCTAAAACCCAGGGTTAAGTTCTTCTTGGCGTTCAATCCCCCTGTTTTTCCTATTCCCTCAGTCAAGTCGGTTCACCATTCCACTTATTTCAACGAATCACTGAAGGATTGGGGAAGGGTCTGTTCTCCCCTTGAGTGCAAGGAGTGAAGGGCAGACAGCCTCTCTGGATAAGCAGGGGCAACAGGGATGCTGAGGTCTCCAAGGGAAGATGGGTCTGGAAGACAAGAATGAAAAGAATCTCCCACTTCGCAGTAGGGGACGTCATTTCACTGAAGAAGGGGGAAAGACACATATCGATAAGCTTGGAATAAAATACCCACATGGTAATGTTCCAGCAAGTCAGCCCATCCAATGTGTCTTCTGTACCTCACTTCCTTGTGACTGCTCCCTCTTAAACTGACTCATATGCTCCTGCTGGGAAAGCGTGTTTCCGTTCTATGCAGAACACCCAGTGCCACAAAGATAGCTGTGACAGGTGCAGCCTGAATGCCAGTCAACTGGCAAAATGTGGCTTCTCTTTCAATAGCACTGTTCTTACCACTCTGTTCAAATATGGCGGTTTGTATGCTGACTGTGTAAACAGCCCAATATGGCTGTAAGGACATCTATTTTGTCCCTGTAACCAAGACCATGCCCAATTGAGACAAAACATGATCTGGGATGAGGGAGGGGGGACAATGTCTGGAAGTCACAGGATCCAAGCTGTGATAATGAGGAGATGGCAGGACTTGACAGAGGCAGTCAGCTTTGTTCCAGCATAGGCATCTCTAATTCCTCCAGAAGAATTCACTTGGATCTGGGGACCAAAGTAGAGAAAAGGGCTGGAGGGAGGTTTCTCCCTGCTCACCAGTGATATCTCCATAGCCACAGTGACAGGTTCAGGGAGTAAGTATGTGACCTAAGGTGATCCAGTAAGATCAAAGATCAGATATTTGTTCAATGCTGTGGAAAAGCAAGAATGTAGGCTTGCTGAAGCCAGCTGCCATTTTGTTCCATTTGTGTGGCAGTGCCAGTTCAAGGAAAAAATGAACACACAGAGGAAGACAGAACTGAGAGGATCACAGAGACGTGGAGCCAGAGTCCTGAACCAACCATACCCAAAGGCCATCTTCTCGCTGTACTTGGCAGCACCACAGCCAATAAATTATCTTTCTTGTAAACACCAGTTCCAGTTGACTTTTCTGTTACCTAAAGCCAAAACCGTGCCCTGCTGGAAACCAAATGTGACCTGGGAAGAGGGAGGGGAAAGAATGTTTGTGAATCACAGGGTCCAGGCTGTGACCGTGAGGATACAGCAGGACTTGACAGAGGCATGACATGGCCAGGTGCAGACCTTCAAGCCCTGATTGCCAAGCTCTCGAGAAAGCCACAGAAGAAACTTGAAAAGTGAGCACATTGACCGGGCGCAGTGGCTCACACCTATAATCCCAGCACTTTGGGAGGCTGAAGAGAGAGGATTACCTGAGCCCACGGGTTCAAGACCAGCCTGGGCAACTTGGCGAGACCTCGTCTCTACAGTAAATCAAAAAATTAGTCAGGCGTGGTGATGCATGCCTGCAGTTCCAGTTACTTGGAAGGCT